AACCAGTCAATCCTAAAAGAAATCAATCCTGAATAGTCATTGGAAGGACTGATGCTGAAGCTCCAGTACTTTGGCCATCTAATTCGAAGAGCCGACTCATTAGAAAAGACCCTGATGCTGGGAAAGACCAAAGGCAGGAGAAGGGGATGACAGAGGATGAGATGGTTAGATGGCATCACTGACTCAATGGACATGAGCTTGAGCAAGCTTCAGGAGATGGTGATGGACTGGGAAGCCTGGCGTGCTGCAGTCCATGGGGTTGCAAAGAGTCGGACACCACTGAGTGAACACCACCACCACCACCTTGACTTTAGCTCAGTGAGACTGACTTGAGGACCCCTGACCTCCTGAACAGTAAGAGAATCAATCTGTGTTGATTTAAGCACCAACATCTATGGCAAGTGTAACAGCAACCACTGGAAACTAACACACATAATTTCGGTAGCGAGCTCCCTGGGCGTGGAGGTACTCTGCAGTCCAGCCCCCATGCCCCGCCCAGGAGGGGCTGGTGATCAGAAGCCTGAACAGCTGTGACTGTGCCAGGCATCTTTCCAAGCATCCCTGCCCCCTCCCAGGCTGCTCAGTTAAGTGGGAGGCATAGGTCCCTGCCTCCTCGCCTCCCACCAAGCCCACTCTGGTGACCAGAGATGTATTGTCACTGGGCCTGAGCCCTGCTTCCTGCCTACAGTTCTCAGGGACTAAGCTACACTCTGACCCAAAGCAGTCACATTGCCATCTCCCTCCCCTGCTGGATGGGCCTCTCTGAGCCCCTCTCTCCTCAGAAGGGTGACATCCTATTCTGAGCTCTGATATGGCCAAGGGTGTCATCATTAAGGCAACGCGAAGACTAAGAGACATCCTTCCCGTGTCCACCCAATGGGCCTCCCCTTTCTCTGGCTCCTCCTCCTCCTGTCCCCAACCCCCGATGCTTACTTGCCACCCTCAACATCCAGGCCTCTGTCAGCCTTGGCTCCTCTTACCAGCCACAGTCACTTCTTCAGCAGGGAAATGGCAGACAAGCCAGACCCGGACCTGGGTCTCTAGCATTGGCCCGCACAAGCCCACCCAGCCCCTGTGGTCATCAATGCTGAGCTCAAACCCCTCTGTTTGGGCCCAGCGGGTTCTGCATGCTTGCAGCCCTGCCCTTGGGCCAAAACCAAAGACCTGTACGGAGCCCAGCCTAGAATCGGCTGGCAGGAGTGACTGGGTTCAGGCCCTGCTCACCTCCTATGCAGAACAGCCTCCGCGAGAATGCTCCAGGACCTGCTTCACTCAGTCCAGTCCAGCACCGCCCTCTTCCCTCGGGACTGAGCCAGACATCAGTACGGACCAATCTCTTCTTCTGAGCCGAACTGTGACTTCTTAGGGCAACAGCGGCCCTGTCTTAAACCTTTACAGGCTGGAGGACTACCTGTGGCCCCACCTAGAGTTCCTGGTGATTGGTGTTTTCACACTGTCCCATCAGATATTCTCAATCTTGGCCAATCATTGCAATCACCTGGGGTGTGGGGATGGGAAGGGGGAACAAAAACTACTGGGTCTGAATCCTACCAATGGGTTTGATGATGTCTGGCAGTTGCCAGGCTGTGAGAGTTTTAAAGTCTCCCCAGGGGGTTCTAAAATGCAGCTTAGAACAACTGATTTGGAACTTGTGGAATGTGTTTTCAAGATAACAGGGCTTCCAAGTGATTCAAAGCTTGGGGACTTNGAGTTTTAAAGTCTCCCCAGGGGGTTCTAAAATGCAGCTTAGAACAACTGATTTGGAACTTGTGGAATGTGTTTTCAAGATAACAGGGCTTCCAAGTGATTCAAAGCTTGGGGACTTGAGTCCAGGCAGCTCATGCTGTTTCGAGGCAGGTGGCACCGAGCATGTGAGAGGCAGTGCTGGAGCCAGGGGCGGTCACCTGAGCAACCTGTGGCCCTTGGTCTCTGGGTCTGGAAGGTGTCTGCTGTGGGCTAAAAAGTAGTGGGGATGAGGAGGGAAAGAGGAGAAGAGAAGGGAGGAGACAGGCTGTCCCCATCAGTGTGGTGACTTTTGACACGCTCTGACTCAACGCAGAGGGAATTTCACAGGGCAACAGCAGATGATATTTGCAGCCGAGACGAGCCATTCCCTTTGGTTGAAGCCAAATTCCGAGGGCAACTGGGGCATGTGAGTGGGAGGAGAGAGGACCAAGGGATGCTCAGGGAAGCCAGGGCAGGGACCTCGAGAAGCAAGCGTCACAGTGGTCCATGCAGGAGGGCAGAGAGACCCTGGAGAGAAGGCCCCTCGGGGATGTGGCATAAACCCCACATTCCCTTCCATTTCTGGGCTTTTCTAACTCAGTTTGGACCTGTCACTGGATGCGCACAATGGCTGTAGCTGCTAGGTGTTAATATCCCATCTTGGAGCTCAAGCTCAAAGTCAACCCAGGTCTGTCCAGTCTCTCCATGTTGGAAAAGACAGGAGGAGGCCCTGCTTTTCAAACGCCGTCCCGGTTTTAGGCTTGTGGCAGGAAAAAGCCACCCAGAATCCCTCCAGTCTATTTGGGAAAGCCTCCTGCTACCTGTATGAAGTACTATTTAAGACGCCGGAAGATGTCAAAGAGGGAAGCGAACACTGCTCTCCTCACTGCCGGTGCCAGCCAGCCCTGCTGCTAGTACCTAGGGCAGAGCTTCTGTCATATCCCCTGAGTCACAGAGGAGGCAGAGGGCTGTGTTACGGACAGGGAGCAAGGCTGGTAAGGAGGACAGTGCCCCCGGCTCCAGAAAGACAACGGAAGCCATAGGGGCCGACGACAATGTTAGTGCACAGACTCAACTCAAGGGTGTCCAGGTGGCCCTGCAGAATGTTCTCTCGCCGTTCCACCTCCAGCCGATGTCCCGGCAGGCCTCCCAAACCCCCTCCTTGCAGACCAGGCAAGTGACATCCCCCGCTTCTTATGCTGAAAGGGTCTTCATTCTCTTCTAGAACGTGGGGGAGCTGCCCTCCACCCCAACTACACACGTGACACAGCTGGGCCCCTGCGGCTGTGTCTGTCTGCCCCAGGGGCCCAGGCCCTCCTGGCCAGATCTGGACGGGCTAGGGTGGACCCCTGACCCAAGCTGGCCAACTAGATTCTCTCTCCTGGGAACCTGGCAGTGGAATCAGGAGGGGCTGGTGACATTCTTTAGGGCGTGACACGAACAGAAAGCTGTGTGAGACCCAATGCAGCCGGCCTGAGGGAGAAACAGCGGGAGGCTGAGGGAAAGAGAGGAACCACCCCTGCTCACACCCCTGGTTCACACGGCTGACTGGAGATACCCCCACAGACATGCAGCACAATCTCCCTCCTGCCCCTGCCAGCCTGAGACATGCAGCACAATCTCCCTCCTGCCCCTGCCAGCCTGAGAGGGTTCCCCTCACCTCTCACCCACAAGCCCCAAAGCAGATGTGGTCACCTCTCACCTCGCTCCTTCTAGGACCCTGCCACCACTGCCCTGAGCGCCAGGCACAACCTGGCCCACTGCTCCTGGAGAAAACACCCTCCGCCAGGACCGCCAGTGGTACCTGCTGATCCTGCAGGGGCCTCTGACCCACTTGGAGAATAAAATTGGGAACTATCTGCCCTGTGGCCACATGCTGAGCAAAGTGGGACAGGAGCAGCCACCCGAGGCGGCCGCCTCACCGGACTCCAAGGGGCCATCTTCTGCTCTGCAGGAACTCAGGGCAGGGAGTTTCTTCCATAAAAGCAAAACGTGGATAAACCCAGATGGGAGATGCAGGCCTCTCCTTCCTTGTCCCCAGCGCCTACTTTACAATGGTACTTATAAGACTAGAGAAATGGGTTTTTCTCCATATAATAAAATATAAGGGTTTATTAGGTTTTCTTTTTCTTTCTTTTAGTTAAAAAGATTCCTTCCTATTACTGATGAATGACTCTGTAGTCTCCCCCTTTCTCCTGATGTCATTCCCCGAGCCCATGCCCTGGCTGGAGTCCCTGAGCAGGACTGACTGCTGGGCCTGTGATCTGGGCCTCACCCAACCTCCTCCTGCTCCGCCTGCACCCTCCACTCTAGCTGGGCCTGTCTCCCTCTGTTCCCCTCCAGCAAATGTCTCTTCCTGCTTTTCGCTCAAAAAGGGTTCCTTGCCCAGAACTTCTTCCCTCTCCCCTCTGCCCATCTCAGCCTCCTGGTCCCAGGGGTGCCAGCCAAACTGCTGGCCGCACGCCACCATCCTTCCCCACTTGGGCAGTGCTGCCCTGTCTCTGCTCTGAGCGCCTGTGGCCTTCGATGTCAGGATCGCTCCTCCATGCACTGGGTGCAGTGATCTTGCAGTTTCCTGAGCCTAGGCTGTGTCTTCCCAGTGTGACTGTCATCCGCATGTCAGCCACCCCTGAGCCGCACACACAAGGTAACCAGGAAGAGGTTCTTGGCATGGTTCTCAAAGCCTTCCTTGCGCCGGGAACTATTCCAGACTACGTTTCTGGCTTTGTCTCCTCTTTAACCCACCCTAAATTCAGTCACATGCTTCATTCATCTTTGTCTTAACCCCCACTCCCCACCCCCAGCACAGCTCCTGGCCCGGAGCATACTGTCAAAATATTTTTGTTAACTTGAAACCACAAGTGCTCATCAGGCTGAATCAATATTGTTCTTTTCAGGGAGATGAGATAGAGAAAAAACTATTGGGTTCCCGTCAAGTTCAGGATGGCCCTTGTTGAAGCCTCCAGGAGTCCATGAGGAATGACAACCTCAGGGCAGTGGAGACTCAGCTGGAGGGTCCAAGGCCACACAGAGCCCATCTGACACCTCAAGGCCCGTCCGGGTGCTGTGAGCGCAGTCCAGGGACACAGCCTCTGGGGACACAGCCTCTGACAATACACAGAGAAGGCATATAATTTACTGTTCAAACCGGGAAACTTCTGAGCGAGAACTGGACATTTTGCTGGAACTATTCCAGATAAGTGGGCTGGGCAGTCAGGCCAGGCAATCGAATGTGGTCTGTGGTCAAACACTCCTAAAAAGGAGACAAAATAGAACTTACTAAAACTCAAGAGTTGCTTAGGGCCAAGGTGGGGTTTATTTATTTTAAAAGCCAATTGTGTTATTGAAGAAAAGGCTGTGTTCTCGGCCCATTTTGGCTATGGTACGGGGCTGCTTGGGGAACTGCGCTGAAGCGGTATATGCTCCTGGGCCCGGGGTTTTCTGAAAACACAACAGAGAACAGGAAGTGATGATATAGTGACACCAGAACCTAGAGCCTCCTGAGCTTGGCTGTGGACTCAGGCATGGCTGGCAAACCCCCACTGAGGGAGACAAGGGCTGCCCTGGTCTGGGCTGAGGCCTGTGCACCTGAGGACTGGAGCCTGTCCTCGGGACTGAGGCCTGCTCCTGTCCCCGGCTCTCCCCAAGACTGCAGAGGTGCTGCGAGAAGCGCTGACAAGCAAGCAACAGCCCAGGGGAGGTGGGCTTACACTCCCCCCCCCCTTCGGGGCACGCTTTCTCTGGGGCACCCCGTCCCTGCGAATGCCAGTGCCCCCAGTGACTTCGCTCTAGTGGTCATGGGTTGGAGAGGATGGATTCCGAACCTGAACAGCTGACCTCAGAAGCCCCAACTCCTGCGTCTCCATCATCTTCCCCAGTACCAAGAGAGTGAGATTCAGCACTACCAAGGCCCATGGACCTCAGGCTCAAGGGATGGATGAGTTCTAATTTTGAAAAGCCCTGTTTTCATTTTGATGAAATGCTTGAAAAACTCAGTTCTGTTCAGTCATGTCTGATTCTTTGCGACCCCATGGACTGCAGCACACCAGGCTTCCCTGTCCATCACCAACTCCCGGAGTTTGCTCAAATTCATGTCCATCAAGTCGGTGATGCCATCCAACCATCTCATCCTCTGTCACCCCCTTCTCCTCCTGCCTTCAGTCTTTCCCAGCATCAGGGTCTTTTCCAGTAAGTCAGTTCTTCATATCACTTGGCCAAAGTACTGGAATTTCAGCTTCAGCATCAGTCCTTCCAATNACCAGCTTGTCACTGCCATCCTTCCCTACAGTTTGCTATCTCTGCAGGAAGCAGTGAGAGTACAAACAAGATTACCAGAGCAGTCAGCCCAGGGTGCATGAGATCAGCTGCCTGCAGAAGCTGCTTTAAATGACAGGATGTTTCCCTGGCCAAATGCAAAGGAGCAGCTTGGGAATCTAATCGAGTCCTGGCCAGACGTCAAAGGAAGCTGAAGCCCTTATTAGTGCTTTTAATGAGGAAGCTGCCTGTGTGTGGAGTCCAGGAAGGCCAGTGCCTGAACAGGAGGTTTGGGGGCCTGCACCCCAAAAGGCCATCCTTCAGGAAGCTGCCAGCCGCAGTCCTCAGACCTTGAGAACATCCGGCTCTGTCCTCCAGCCCTGATGTCACTGCTACCAAGCAAACTCTGCTGTTGTTTGGCTTCCTTCCGAGTTTCCTGCAAGGGGAGACACTCCAGGGAGCAGCGGCTCCAGACACCAGCCCCCTCGCTGGACACTTGTAAAGGAATACCACCACCTTCCAGCTTCTCCATCAGTCTCTTGGGATTTTGGTTAGTATGACTCCAACATCCTGAAGAAGCTCAGCCCCGTGAGCTCGGAGGAAAATCTGTTTGGATCATGATCGTGCCACGAGGGTGAGGATCTGCTGAAGGGAGCCACTAGCCTCCAGCTGTCTGTCTGTTTTTAGTCTTTCCGGTGGGGCCTCCCCAGTCTTCCTCCGGAGAAAGACCGAATTAACCATCTCAAATCAGGCTACAAACCAGTGAGTCCGGGGGACTTTCAGACTGAGGAACAACAAGACCACGGGAATGAAAACTTTAATAATTAAACAAACAACTCAAGCCACTTTCATAAGCTCCGTGTTGTGCTTCTGCCATCTTTCTTGGTCTCCTCGAGGCCTCCGAGGCTCTCACACCCTCCCAGAACCTACCTCCTTGTGTGTCTCCATGGACTCGAGCCTCTTCCCTGTCTGTCCTGAGTCCTCGGGGGCAGGATGATGGCTCAGGACTTAATGGTCTCCTTTGGTTCAATGATAATGCTTCTGTTCTGTGACTTTCTGTTCCCAGAAGGTACATACGCAAAGTACGGCAGTTCTGTAAGGGCCCACTGCTGGCCTCTGTTCGTTAGAGAGGTTTCCCCATGAAGCAACCAGGACATAACGGTGATAGCTAATCACTGTGCTGGCTGTTCTCAGCTGGACTCATTCTTCAGCCATGGTCTTTGGGCCTGGAGTCACTTTGAGCCTGAAACTGGCTGAGGGCTTATCTAGTGAGCTCGAGACTCTGCTGCCTTGTCAAGCAATCTTAATGTATACACATTAGAATTGTGGGGCTTCCCAGGTGGTGCCAGTGATAAAGAACCTGCCTGCCAATGGAGGAGACATAAGAGACGCAGGTTAGATCCCAGGTTTGGGAAGACCCCCCCAGAGGAGGGCATGGCAACCTACTCCAGTGTTCATGGCTGGAGAATCCCTCGGACAGACGAGCCTGGCGGACTATAGTCTGTAGGGTCACAATGAGTGGTACACAATTAAAGCGACTTAGCACACACACATGCACACTAGAACTGTATATAACTCTACTGCCCCCATCCCATTCCCAATGCCCACCCCACCCCCTGCATCAGTCACAAAACCTACAACCATATCTGTCTCTTAGGACACTTACCGAACAGGCAGGCAAGAATCGAGGTACTCTGGATTGAAAACAAGAAGTAACAGAACTTGCTGAAGGTATTTTCAAGTCATAATGACCTGGTCCTGGGCCTTCACACTGTAGAAAAAAAAATTGTTTTTGTCTCATAAATAGTGAGAGCTGATATATTTTGATGCTTTACTTGCCTTTTATGAATAGACATATGACTCAGTGTGATATGGTAGAAAAATCCCTGGATTGGGACGTGGAAGCTCTTGTTAAGGTGTGCCCTGGTACCAGGCACTGTGAAATGGGAATAATACCTGCTTTTCCTGCTCTACCTGCCTTGTGGATGACTGTGAGGACTGCAGAGGAAATGACATGTGAAAGTCTCCCATCCCTGCCTGGATACCCTCCTCTCTCCCAGGCCCCCTGCCCACACCAGCAGGCCTCACTCCATTCTTGTCCCTCTGCTGAGGGTGACTTACTGCTCTGAGCTGTTAGTTTTATAAAACACACTTATTCCTTCACACACATGCAGCATATGTTCTCTTAGTCCCCCAAAAAAGTATTCATAGCAATTCACTGCCCTACGTACAATGCCATGAGATTAACATAAGTAGATGAACACAATTTTGAAAAGACAAACAGCTCAATAGAAAAGTCAGCAAAAGGCAACTCACAGAGAGGAAAAGGAGTGAGGAAACTGCAAGGTGAGGGGGGCGGAGCTCTAAGGTCATTAATAACAAACTAAGTTCTCATTCAAAGAACAATGAGATATACTTTTGTGGGGGTCAGGAAAGAAAGAAAGAGATAAAGGAAGGAAAAAAGGAAGAAGGGAGGGAGAAGCCAAAACCTTCTGCGGGGGTGGGGTGGAGCCCAGGGCATGCACATCTTGGCTTGCAGGATCTTGGTTCCCAGACAAGGGATTGAACCTGTGCCACTGCAGTGAAAGCCCCAAGTCCTAACCTCCAGTTAATTCCCAAGAAACTAAAACTTTATCCACAGTGTGGATACTCCTACCTGACTCTGGCAGAACTGTTAATTTGATTAGCCTTTCTGAAGCATAATTTGGCAAGCTTGAAACAGCTTAAAAACACATATACCTATCCAAAGGGAGAGAAAGAAAATAAGAGTCTGGTTACTCCTGATTGTTGCAGGAATCCAGAAGACAAATAATGAGTCCTGAGCCCAGATATGGCAGGAAAATGAATACAGCCCAAACACCACAGTAGATAATGTAGACAAAATGTTAACCTTTTTTTTCCTTTCCAGCAATTCACTTCCTTTCCTCTCCCATTTTCAAATACCAGTGCTATTTGACAGAAAAAAATAATCTTTCTGGCATGATGTTTTAGATCTGTCTCTGAATAACGCAGGAACTAGGGGAAGTAGATGGGGGTGTAGACTGGCCAAGTTTTTGGTCATTTTTGAATGCGAGTTCTCTTTATATGGTATATATATTTAAAGTTTTCACAATACAAAGTTAAAGATAATATATATTTGTTATATTGACCTAGAAATTCCATTTTTAGGAATTATTCCTAAGAAAACAATTGATAATGTGTACAAATGTTTGGTCACAAAGACATTCCCTACAACACTGTTTCTAAAAGTTGAAAAATCAGAAATGAAAGAAATGACCAATGACATGTGCCTGGTGAAATAAACTGTGATTCTTCCATCCAGTCATCCAAGCTGATCAATTTCTATGGACATAAAGTCTACTCCCAAGTATTGTTAAGTGAATACTCCCAAATATTGTTAAGTGAACAAAACAAGCTTTAAAAAATGTGCATTAAAAAATTGGGAAAGAAATGTTCACCAACAGCAGTTTTCTCCAGGTGGTGACATGTTGAGTAAAAAGACTTTTTTTTTTTTTTTTTGCTTATTGGCTGTTTCTAATTTTTCTATGATGGACTTGAGTGTCCTTGAAATAAGAAAAAAAGTTATTCTTAGTGCATAGATAAATAAATATGGAAATTGGGTAAGTGAAAAAGGGGGTAGGGGAAAAAGATAAAATGAGCAGAAAGATTAGAACAGAAATGTATTCCATAAGATCCTTGTGACACATATGAGACTGAGCCACAGGTTAGCCCAATGGATTTGGCTGAATAAGCACCCAAATGTGGCCCCTCTGCAGGATTTAAGAGCAAGGCTTTCAAAACCCTGTTTTCCTTTTGTGGCACAGCAGCACAATTAGGGCTGCCATTCTCAATTATCCACCATGAATGAAGTCTGTTATTATCAGCCAAGCACAAGTCTGATAATCAAGGGATGTGTCTCATCATTTTACAACTCATGGCAGAGAGATGAAACAGCAGTGTCTTCAACCTGATGCACCTGTGGGACAGAGACCGCTGTCAGGGCAAGGCTTCTTCACTACAGAAGTCTGAGCCACCATAAGCACACAGGATAGAAAGTCAGGGGAGTGTGAACAGGAATGATTTGCACAGTCCCCTTGGTTTGGCCATAATAAATGCAAGTTCTCAAGCTGGAGTGGCAGCTGGGGCAAAAGATGCTGCTGAGGGTGTCACCACTGACTCCATGCCTTTGACAGCCCGGCCATCCATCTGTGGAATGGCTAAGAAACACTGTGAACACTACCCTTTCCCCACAAGCCTCCTGTGGCTTTCACTTCTAAGCTTCTAAGTCGTGAGCTGCTTGAGAGTCAGGTGCCAGGCCTGGCGAGGCCCTGATATGTGCCCATGCCATCCAGCGGCCTTCCTGCATGTGCATGGTCATCTGAATCAAAGGGCCTAAGACTCGGGACAGAAAGAAATTACTGAATGCTATTTGGCCCCCATGTGTCACATGGGACCTCTTAAGTGGGGAACATTAAGGAAGTTGATACAGACCTAGGTTCTAATTCCAGAAGCCACAGGAATCCTGTTTTAAGTGAGAAGTAATGATCAGGCCAGGGTCCTGCAATGGGTGGGAAGCAGCTTCAACAGAGTTCCTGTTTCTGCCCCATCCGAGGACGATGGGCAGAGTGGGAAGAGCTGAAAGGAGAGAAGAGGGCTTGGTCCAGGATGGCTCTGAATGTGAGGGGAAATGGAATCAGTTCAACAGTGGGGCGGGGGTGGGAGGGCAGGGTGGGTTCAAAACAAAGGATAAGGAGAAGACACAAGGTATGAAGACATACTATGGCCTTGATCTTGAACTTCTTGACTTATTTGGTTCTAATTCCTTGCACCATAATGCTCAGTACCATTGTAGGCATCTGCTAAAGCCTTGCCACCACTACCTCCAACCCTCCAGGGCTGAGAGGATGGGACTGGCTTATGTATACAACACTGCTCAGGAAATGAAAGGTGCCAGGTACCTCTGAAACACTGTGTGAGGGTAGATGAGGTTATCCCAAGATGTGTACTGAATTAAGTTCTCCAAAAATCTATAAATCCTCTGAGTTTTAGGTGTGTTTCATTATGCTGAATGCTGAATGACATTCCCTCAAAATTCTTAAGACCTGCGGATTTGGAGTTCACAGTATCTCATAGTGTGACCTTGTCTGGAAATTGTCTGACCTTGTCAGACCTTGTCTGACCCTTGTCTGGATCAGTCCTGACTGTAGCCACAAAATTACAAGATGCTTGCTCTTTAGAAGGAAAGCAATGACAAACCTATTCAGCTTATTAAAAAGCAGAGACATCACTTTGCTGACAAAGGTCCATATAGTCAAAGCTACAGTTTTTCCAGTAGTCATGTACAGATGTGAGAGTTGGACCATAAATAAGGTGAGTGCAGAAGAATTGATGCTTTTGAACTGGGGTGCTGAAGACTCTTAAGAGTCCCCTGGGCAGCAAGGAGATCAAACCAGTCAATCCTAAAGGAAATCAACCCTGAATATTCATTGGAAGGACTGATGCTGAAGCTCTAATACTTGGGCCACCTGATTCAAAGAGGTGACTCATTGGAAAAGACCCTGATGCTGGGACAGATTGAAGGCAGGAGGAGAAGGGGGCGACAGAGGATGAAATGGTTGGATGCATCACTGACACAATGGGACATGAGTTTGAACAAACTCAGGGAGGTAGTGAAGGACAGGGAAGCCTGGTGTGCTGTAGTCCATGGGGAAGCAGGGTCGGACACAATTTAGTGACTGAACAACAACAACCAGATATAATAAGACAAGGTCATTACAATGGACCCTAAACCAATGCTTCTTGGTGCTGGGAGGTGTCAGTACTTAGCTTTAAGCTATTTTCCTTTTAAAATCATAAAGCTAAAGGGAACCTAGAAAGAGCACATAGTCTGTCTCTATTGATCCTAGGCACAAACAAGTTTCAACAAATCATACTTGAGAAGAGAAAAAGTCAGAGATAAAATAAAATGTATAGCCCCAAATGTCTATATATACACACACATGCAAAACATAAGAAATACACAACATAAACTGAAATCACTAGACATGGTGGCAAAAATGATCTCACCCAAATTTGGTGGGGTGGGTGGTGTGATAACTGGACCACACTGCCCAGAAGAAAAGAGGTACCCCAGCAAGGAGGGGAGAGCCCTGTGTGTGGGAGGGCACATAGAGGAGCTAGAAGTGCCTCTTTGGGAATTCAGGAGGAAGCATGTGGCAGGGTGTATCCAACTCAGGAAATTCTAGAATTCTCTAAGAATACATCTAAAGGTTCAGAGGAGAAAGGAGACAACTATGCTGGTGGATAGGGTAGAAGTAAACTTGGCAGGGACCAAAAGTTATCCACATTTGTGAAATTAAAAACTGACAGCACTGGGACTTCCCTGGTGGTCCAGTGGCTACGACTCTGTACTCCCAATGTAGGGAGCCCAGGTTCAAACCCTGATCTCACATGCTGCAATTAAGACCCAGCACAGTCAAATAAACAAATAAATTTGAAGAATTGATGGTATCTCTGAAGCTCCATACTTCTTAAAAAACCCTAGTACATCTGTAGTTATAGGAAAAGGAGTATGTCAAGGCTGTATATCGTCACCCTGCTGATCCCCTGGAGAAGGAAATGGCAACCCACTCCAGTACCCTTGCCTAGAAAATTCCATGGATGGAGGAGCCTGGTGGGCTACAGTCCATGGGGTTGCAGAGTCAGACACAACTGAATGACTTCACTTACACTTTATTTAACTTATATGCAGAGTAGATCATGAGAAACACTGGGCTGGATTGAAGCACAAGCTGGAATCAAGATTGCTGGGAGAAATATCAGTAATCTCAGATATGCAGATGACACAACCCTTATGGCAGAAAGTGAAGAACTAAAGAACATCTTGATGAAAGTGAAAGAGGAGAGTGAAAAAGTTGACTTAAATCTCAACATTCAGAAAACTAAGATCATGGCATCTGGTCCCATCACTTCGTGGCAAATAGATGGGGAAACA